CCTCCTCAGACTTCCAAGCAGCTAAGACTATAAGTGTGCACCACCATGCCTGGTTGCTTAAAAAAAAATTAATAGGGCATCTTGCTATATTGCCCAGGGTGGTCTTGAATTATTGGTCTCAAGCGATCAGCTCCCTGAGTTGCTGGGATTGCAGGCATGAGACACTGTGCCTAGTTCCTGTCCTATTTTATATATATTTTTTACCTAACCACTCTTGCTTGTGGTGATAAAAGTCACAGAAAAAACTCATGTGTAACTCACTAAAGAATATGTGTGGCGAAGTTCAAAGTGCCCAAGATTTAGGACAGAAGACCCCAGTTCAAATACTGCTTCTTCAACATCTTAGGGCAAATTTATTCTCTTTTTTCTTTTAGAGAGTTTATAGGAATGATTTTCACCTCTGTGGGAAGCTAGCTGTCTTCTTTGCTACTTACCTATGACAAACTGGACTGTACCAATCAGAATTTCTCCTTCCAGCAAGGTTAATAAAAGGTAAGCTGTGGGCCAGGCGCAGTGGCTCATGCCTGTAATCCTAGTACTTTGGGAGGCTGAGGTGGGCAGATCACCTGAGTTCAGGAATTCGAGACCAGCCTGCCCACCATGGTGAAACCCCGTCTCTACTAAAAATACAAAAAAATTGGCTGGGCATGGTGACAGGTGCCTGTAATCCTAGCTACTTGGGAGGCTACGGCAGGAAAATCTCTTGTACCTGGGAGGCAGAAGTTGCAGAGAGCAGAGATCACGCCATTGCACTCCAGCCTGGGCAAGAACAGTGAAACTCTGTCTCAAAAAAAAAAAAAAAAAAAAAAAAAAAAGGTAAACTGTGAAAAGCTGTATTCTTCCACATGCATAAAGGAACAGAAAAAGCTAATCTGCAGGGAGAAAACAATGTGGCAGAAAGGAAGAGAAGAGCAAATATAAGAAAGAGAAACAGAGGCAATGCATTGCCAAGCTATCTTGAGGATGGAGAGTCAACTTGGCAGCTTTCTTACCTCACAACCCCATTTAAATCCTATCTGTGACTTGGCTATCAACCTGCTCTCTGATTTGTGAGATAGCCAATGTTGTATTGCTGGAGTTCTTTCTATTGCTTTTTTCTAGATTTTGTGAGCTTTATCACCTGCAATCACAAGTTCTAAGACAGTTTTTGACCTCATGGTTTTCAACAGACTAACAATTTCTTAGCCACTCTTTGGTCACGGCATCTAGTGAGGGGAAAGTGAGTTGATGGACAATGATGTGCTATTGTTAATCACTTACAAGCTCATTCACACGTGTGGTCAACAAATGTTTACTGGGCATCAACTATCTGTCTGACACTGCCTTAGATGTGGGACCTGTGCACTGAAAAAAACAAAGTCATTGCCAAATGGAATTCATATTCTGAGGAAGGGGAATAGAAAGTAAAAATTTTAAAAACAGATAAATATGTCATATGACAGATAAATAAAGGAAAGAAAAAAATAGCATAAAGCTGACTTAGAGTGGTGGAGGAGAGGGGTTGTTATTTTAGGTAGATTGGGTAGAGAAAGTATCAATAATGCAATGACATGTGAGACCTGAAGGCAATTAGGGAGCGAGATGGGACCATTTGGAGAACAATGAACAGGGAAGGGAAGTACAAAAGTCTTGAGGAAGGAGTGGACATGGCATATTTGAGGAACAGAAGACCAGAGTGACATACTAGAAGATGAATTATAGAAGGCCTAGCATAAAGACTTTTACTCTGGATGAGATGGGAAGCTATTGGTGGTTTTTGAGCAGAGATGTGACATAATTTGACTTTCATTTTAGAAATATTATTGGGGTGCTGTAAAGAATATAGTAGAGGGGAATGGGCACATCAGCTCATGCCTATAATTCTAGCACTTTGGGAGCCCGAGGTGGAAAGGTTGTTTGAGTCCAAGAGTTTGAGACCAACATGGGCAACACAGCAAGACCACGTCTCTACAAAAATTTTTAAAAATTAGCCAGGTGTACACGCTTGTAGTCCCAGTTACTTGGGAGGCTGAAGTAGGAGGATCATTTGAACCCAGAAGGCTGAGGTTACAGTGAACCATGATGGTGCCACTGCACTCCAGCTTGGGCAACAAAGTGACAACTTGTCTGAAAAAAGAAACAGAAAAGAAAACAATACAGTAGAGGGGAAAGGTGAGGCAAGGAAGGCAGTTAGGAAGCTCTCGTGATGGTTTAGGTGAGAGATGGTCATGACTTGGGCAAGGATCATGGCTAAAGAAAGATACAGAAATGCCAGATTCTCTTATAATGTTGAGGCAGAAGCTGTAAAGTTTACTGATGGTTTAGAGATGAGTTTGAGAGAAGACAGGGGTCAACAAAGAGTAAAAATCTGGGCCAAATCCCAAGATGGAGCTGTCATTGATGAGATAGCAAGATGATAGAAGCGGCAGTTATTTAAGTGGAGAAATTTAAGAGTTTTGTATTGGATATGGTAAATTTCAAACAACTACTGGCATGTTAAGTAGCGAAGTCCCTTAAGAATTTGGTTATATCAATATGGAGGCTTGCAGAGAGCTCTAGATTGAAGATCTAGTTTATATTCCTGTCTTTCTCTTTCAGAGAAGCATCCCATTTGAGGCTGCTAGAGGATTGATTTTTTTTCAGTCAAGGAGATTAAGAATTAAGGGGATTACAGATGATGTAATACTTCAAAATCAAAATATTTGAAAAGGAAGTGAGAACTTTTTTGAAGCCTGATTGACTTTCACGGCTTTCTGTAATTAGTTTGGGTCAACATATCTTTTATCTTTGAACAAAATACTATTGGCAACAAAACATCTCATATCTACAAATTTATTGGAAACACTTGGAATTTCTGAGTCAGAAAATATATAGACTACTGTGCTAATAATTAACAAGTTATTCTTTCATACATGAATTGTTGGATGAGCCTATCAGTGGTTGAATATTTATTTAGCACTGATGGTGTGCTGTTGAGCATAACATAATAAAGGCTACGGCTAATAAAAATCAATCTTTCATAAATAAAATAAAATTAATTCACTGATTAATTAAATTAGATTAAAAAAATTAAGTTCTGCCTTCAATGAGTTTACAAGAAAGAGCTTAAAATCTGGCATATTTCCAAGGTCATCTCACAGCAAACTTGCAAAATCTGTCTTTGGTTCTTTTCTACCACCATATTGAAAATTTAACTTATTCCATAGCCCATCCACTTTCCCAAACAACCTGTAAATCAGAAAGGTTGTGTAGAAGGGCAGATCTCGAAAATTCTAGTACATCTCAAATATTGGAAGACAGCTGAGAACCATTAGGGCAATGCAGTTTGCTATAAAGAACATCAAAATAGAACTGACTTATTAATCTTAGCATGTTACTTACCCACTGTGACTTCTATAATATGCTCATATTTACAATAAGCTTATATGGAATACTTCAATGCCTCATGGATGCAAGACAGACAGCAATCAACTTACAGCAAAGTCTCAGACACTTCTATCTTCAGTCCTTCAAACCTTCTTCAGTACTTCACATAGCTTTATTTTCCAATCCTTACTTTCGTGGAGCTTTATATACCAAACCCCCAAATATGTTAATGTATAATTTTCACATGTAGCACTTGTGAACCAAGTAAACATTAATTGGACACCTACTGTGTGCCAGGTACACACTGGTGACACAAAGAACAAAATGGAGACGTTCTCTTCAAGCAGAGAGGAGAAACCACATAAATCTAATGTGTAATGAAAATTTCAAAGGTGTATCTTTGTATGCCATATTATGAGAATCCAGAGAAGGGCAATTATCAACCAAGGGAGGTCAGCAAAGTCTTCCTTGGAAAGTATTAGAGGACAAGTAGGAGTTCATCAGGCCAAGAGAAAAGAAGGTAAGTTACAGGAAGGAAGAAAGCTCATTTCACTTATACAGAGCAATAACAGAGAACGAGTCAGTTGCCTAAGATTATGTGCTGTTGGAATATAAATTTAAAGGTGGGAAGTCATGAAAGTTGCACCTGGGGATAAATTAGAGTCAAGTCATGGGGGATTCTGATAAGTTAATTCTGCTCTTGCTATGAAGCCATTCTTCCCTAAGCCGACTCAAATCCTTTTGTGGGAGGAGGGGAATAGGGCAGGGTAAATAACTAAGTAGATGACTTTACACAACTACAGAATTTTCTTCTTTTATGTTTTCCAGATGCCTGGGGAGAAATGATGCAAAAGGTAAGAAAATAAATATTATGGAAATTTATTAATTAGGATATTGCTTGTTGTATATAAGTGTTCAGAAATAATAATACTTGCTACAAACATCTTTTAAGTGATTATTGGAGATTGCAACCAAAAGGCATAAATATTACGTCAATAAGCTTTGGGGTCCCTTATAACAGTTTTAAAATTCTGTAATTATGGCAGTGCTTTGAATTTTGTTTCTAAGGAATTGCTAGAGGGGAAATAACTCTAAAAAAGGAATTAAGAACTCAGTCTCAGCTTGTGTTGCAACATCTTTCTGTTCTTAGGACTCACTTTGTAGCAAACAATGAGGCTATTTACCAAGGGTTTCTTAGAAATCATTTCAAATTTCAAGAAAGTACATTATAGGAATTCAGGAGATTAGTCTGATAAAAAGCTTCTAAGAAAGATACAAAATGTGAAATTATTGATTTAAGTAAACTAAACTTACTATAGGTAAACGAAGATAGATATACGTGTAATACATAAACTACGCCTCATTAGCAGTTTTATTATTTGTTTCTGATTCTGTTACTAAAAATGGATCCATTAACACACATATTTTTGGTCCTGGTACATTTTCATTTTAAAAATTATTTCTCACATCTTCCAATTATTGACATTGCTGACTAGTGCTATTTGAAAACTCTTTGTAGTCCAGGCTACTTACCATCATGTTGGATAAAAATAGGCAAATGACATATGCTCCCTTCTAAGAAATAGAATTCTTGGCTTCATCTAACCTAATTAACTGGCTAGAGTAGTCATCCATAAAAGCAGAAGCTAACACTTCAGAGCCCATTAGCATTGCCCATGAAGCTGATCTCCTTAGCTGGCTGATTTCTCTCTTTCCAAGCCTAAGAATCCTAACCTATACTATGTGGTAAGTCACATTCAAATTTCCTCATATCATTGATCCTGTAAGTGGTTAGGCGAGGTTGCTAATAGGTTAAATGATGGGCTGAAATCTTAGGCAGTTTTTGTGATATTGTTCTTTGGGTTCTGACCTTGCCCCAGTTAGTTCCATCAAAATTAAGAAGGCAGACAACCAGTAGTAGGTATAGCTATATATTCTCTTATAGAAAGTACACTGTAACTTAAAAAAATATCTAACACTAAATTTTAAATGTTTGTTTTACGGAACACTAATTCCCAAAAAACGTGCTTTCAAAAGTAAAGGAGGAAAGGCTCCAAGGTCAACCTTTGCATGTTGTATGTTTGAAATGTTGCATGGATGGCTCAATCAATAAGACTCCCTAACATTAGCATATTAAAGGTTCTGAAACTTGCAGCTATAAATAAACCTGTTTCCTTTCATTTAACCAGAATTATGAAGCTTTTGTGATCAAGAAAGATTTTTTTCTTGGGAAATATGTCAATTATTCTGTGGAATTTCACAATTTTGGAAAATTTTATTGAAAGATATTTAATAAGAATTTTGGAATTCACAATGTTCAAAAAATTTATTTATTTTGTATATCCACAGTAAATCTCATTTGACAGACAATTTGGGGGTCATGAATATTATTCCAAGATTGCCTTGTTCCAGTTGTAGAAGTGATACTAAGGTTTCTTTATTTCCATTACAAATCATCTCATTGTTACCAAAGAATTCTTACTCGGTTGCCCAAAGATATTCACTAATATTTATCTGGAAGTATAATATACTTTCCATCAGTTTTGAGATAGGAGAACATTTACAATTTTTAATTTAATAATAAACTAAGTGCCAAACATAAGCCAAGTAGAGTATAGTTTTCACTTTTCCCGTATGCACAGTTCCAAAATCACAGCAATAACCAATAAAATATATTAGGCATTTGAAATGTCATCATGAAGCTCACCAAGATAAACTCTTGTATAAAAAAGACAGAATAGGAAAGCAAAGCAGTGAGCAAGACTGACTCCACAGGTTCAGATCCAGGTTGTACCAGCCACTGTTAGGATGGCTTTAAAAAGTTCCCCATGAAATTAAGACCCAAACAAAAATCATTATTTGAAAACATGGGCTGGGTTGTGTGGATGGGTCCTGCTCATTAAAAAGCAAAAACAAAACCTGGAAAAACAAACCCAAAAACACTACTGCTGACTTACTTCCGGAAACTATGCTGTTATAGGGTTATGGGAAGACAATGACATAACCTCAAATGAAAGAATAATTTCTGCATAACAAGTGCAAGAATCTATAAAACGTAAACATTTGTAAATAGGCCCCAAAGGAGATAAGATAGACTAAACCACCATCTGGAAATGAAAAAAATATAGTCACCGAAATCAAAACTCACTCACACACACACACCCGCGTGCATACACACACACTCTCTGTCTCTCTTTCTTTCTCTGTGAAACTACTCTGCAGAAAAAGAATTCATGAATTGGAAAAGTATGCTGGGGAATTCACATAGAATGGATCACAAAGAGTAAAATAAATTTCTAAAAGGCAAAGAGAAGCAACTAAGAAATATGGACGATTGGTTTCAGAGGCTCCAGGATGAAAGGATAGAATAAATAAAATCTGAACAGATATAACTGAATTTTCCCTAAGTGAGGAAAAACAAAAATGCTCTAACAAATTTTGAATTTTGAGTTGTGTGCAAGATACACATAAATACAATCAGAACTAGAAGGCTAAAGATATTAAAAATAATAGCAAAATGTAGAGGAAAACCATTACAGAAAAATGACAAAATCTTTTAGGAAATTTCTCTTCAGTAATAGAAAACCCAGAAGACAATGGAGTTCTATATTTAAGGTGTTAAAGCAGTATCTGCGACTTAGGATTTTATTCACAGGAAAATCATAAAGATGAAAAAGAATGAAGACAGTTCCAAACACACAAAACACTAAGAGTATTTACCAAAGATACTCAGCTTAAAAAATAAAGATTGTCATCAAGTAGAGAGGAGAACACAGAAATGGATAAAAATGTCACTAAATATGATTATTTATTGACCATAACAACAATTCAGTATTTTATGTATTTTTTAAAATATCAAGTCATAACTCTAATTGTAAATAACTAGACGATAGGTTGAAATGATTAATGCATAGTTGTAGCGTAGTAAGTTCTGTGCTATATATGAGAGAAGGGGAGAAATGTTGTGTATTGTTAGAATTTGTTAAAAAATGTAATGAACTATATATTTTTTAAAAATTTTAGAATGTCTACAAAAGTGATTATACAATTAGAGCTTTTAAGCCTGTAGAGGAAAATAAAAGTGGCTATTAAAAATTTTAATTCATTAATGATCTTCTTTTTCTTTCAAAATTAATTTGGTGATGATTCATATATCTACCTGCGTATATTAAATGATTTTAACAACTAAACAATACCCATGACATTTTTAATGAAATTTGCTTGAGAAAATGGAGCACAATTATTTTCAATGTGGTTCTAATAGTTGAAGAAACCATAAGAGAAACTCAGTCTCTTGTGTTCTTTGCGATGATTGTTGAGTAGTAGAGTTTCATACAGATATTTTTTTTGTCCTATAATTTCCTTAGAGATTTTCTTGGAAAAAGAAAAATGAAATGTAATTCTGAAGCTAAAACTGGATTTCTACTCTGTATGCTACTTTTGTAAACAATTGTTTCAATCAATAGTATGTGATGACTCTTCCACCTGTCCTTAAGTATTCAAAATGCAGACAAAAATATTAATTCAAAAGCAAACAGGAGAAAAAGAGAGCAAAGGAAAAGATGTGGAAGAAAACCACAAAATAAGATGGCAAAAATAAAAAAAAAGTATATGTAATAGATTAAACTCACAACAAAAGAGTATGATTTACTAACGAGATTAAAAATCAAAATTCAAGATGCAACTATGCTGAGAAATAGAAAATATAGATGTGGCAAAAGATGCCATATAAACAGTAACCAAAAGCAAGCTGGCAGAGAATTATTAATATCAGACAAAACAGAGCTTAAGAACTGAATTGGAAGAAACAATAACAAAAATTAATAATTCACAAAGAATATATAAGAATCATAAGTTTGTGAGTAGATAAATATGTGGTTTTTATCTAAATAAAGCAAAAACTTCCAAATTTTAAGGTAAATTTTACAAACTTGCAAGCATGGTGGGATATTTTAGTTCAACTCCATCAAAAACTCCATAAGCCAAGCAGCCAAGAATAAATTAGTTAAGTTGCAGAAGTTTTGAATGAAACTCAAAGAGAGAGAGGTTGATTTACACCTAAGAATCATTTACTAAAATTAAGTTCATACATTTCACACACTCTTTTGAAGATAAAATTAAATTAATAAATTAATAAATAATTTCTATTATAATGTTAAAAATTTAGGAAGGCATTTCTAAATTACTGGAAATTTTTCAATGTTGGGCTGAATAATAATAAATGAAGCAAATAATAAATGTGTACAGTATTTAACTACATCTGTAATTGGAATGAACTTATAGTTTTAAATACCTCTATCAAAAGGTAAGAATATTTGAAAATAAACAAATTTAGATTTCAGATCAAGAAGCTAGAAAAGTGACAAAGAACATCTCTTAATTAGGAAGAAGAAAATTTCAAAATTAAGATGGAAAATTAATTGCAGAATGAATCAAAGGAACAAAAGGTAAACAAAAGTAAATATAATTCTTTCATGAACTAATAAATCTAATAACATAGTCACATTATCAATAGGAATGACCAAGAAAAATGAAAAAAAAAACATAAAAAATACAGTCATGCACCACATAACGACATTTTGGTCAGTGATGGATCATTATTATAACATCACAGGATAAGGCATTACTCATGAGTTTGTCATGATGCTGTTGTAAACAAATCTACTACACTGCCACTTATATAAGGCATAAGGTATAACACTTATATAAGGTATAGCACATACAATTAGGTACAGTATGTAATGCCTGATAATAATAATGACCAACTATGTACATGTTTATGCATTTATTATAGTATACATTTTATTTTTATTTTAGAGTTTACTCTTTCTACTTTTTTTTTTCTTTCCAGTTAACTGCAAAACAATCTAAGCAGGTTCTTCAGGAGTTATTTGGAAGAAGAAGGCATTGTTATCACAGGAGATGACAACTCCATGTGTGACACAAAAAACCATACCAAAGATAAATGACACTAAAAGTTGGTTTTTTGAAAGAATAAGTAAGACTGATAGACTGCTAGCTGGACTAATAGAGAAAAAGAGAGGGAAGATACATGTGAACACAATCATAAATGACAAATAGGACATTACTGCTGACCCCAAAGAAATGCAAGACACCCTCAGAGATTATTGTGAACACCTATATGTACACAAGCTCGAAAATCTAGAAGAAATGGATAAATTCCTGGAAACATACAACCTCCCAAGATTGAACCAGGAAGTAACTGAATTCCTGAATAGAGCAATGATAAATTATGAAAATTCAATCAGTAATAAAAGCCTATCAACCAGAAAAAGAACTGGACCAGACTTATTAAAAGCTAGAGTCTGTCATATGTATAAAGAAAAGTTAGTACCAATTCTACCAAAACTGTTCTGAAAAATTAAGGAAATGGAATTCCATCCCACCACCTCATTTTATGAGGCTAGTATCATTCTGATACCAAACCTGGAAGAGACACAACAAAAAAAGAAAGATTCAGGTCTATATTCCAAATGAACATAGATGCAAAAATCTTAAACAAACTACTGTAAAACTAAATACAGAAACACATCAAAAAGCTAATCCATGATGATCAAGTAGGTTTTATTCCTGGGATGCAAGGTTGGTTCAATATATGCAAATCAGTAAATGTGATTCATCACATAAACAGAACTAAAAACAAAAACCACATGATCATCTCAATAGGTACAGAAAAGGCTTTTGATAAAATTCAACATTATTTAATGTAAAAACCCTCAAGAAACTAGACATAAAACCCACAACCAACATCATACTGAATGGGCAAAGGCTAGAACCATTTCCCTTGAGAACTGGAATAAGATAAGGATGCCCACTTTCACCACTTCTCAACATAGTACTAAAAGACCTACCCAGAGCAACTGGTCAAGAGAAAGAAATAATAGGCGTTCAAGTAGGAAGAGAGGAAGTTAAACTATCTTTCTTCACAGAATATATGATTCTATACCTAGAAAACCCCATTCTCTACTCAAAAGCTACTAGATCTAGTAAACAACTTAAGAAGAGTTTCTGAATACAGAATCAATGTTCAAAAATTAGTAGCATTTTTACACAATAATGTCCAAGCTGAGAGCCAAATCAAGAATGCAATCCTATTCACAATAGCCACGAAAAGAATAAAATGCCTAGGCATACAGCTAACCAGGGAGATTAAAGATCTCTACAGTGAGAATTACAAAACACTGCTCAAAGAAATCAGAAATGACACAAACAAATGGAAAAACATCCATGCTACTGGCTAGGAATAATCAATATAATCAATTTCATTAAAATGACCATGCTGCCCAAAGCAATTTACAGATTCAATGCTATTTATATGAAACTACCAATCACATTTTTCACAGAATTAGAAAAAATATTCTAAAATGCATATGGGGACCAAAAAAGAGCCTGAATAGCCAAACAGACCCCAAGCAAAGAGAACAAAGCCGGAGGCATCACACTACTCAACTTCAAACTATATTTCATGTATTAGTAGCCAAAAAGCTACCTATCAGACACTAGGCTCACTACTTGAACGATGAAATAATTTGTATATCAAACCTCGCAGCAAACAATTTAATCACATAACAAACCTACAGATATAACCCGGAACCTAAAACAAAAGTTGGAAGGAAAAAAAGTTACAGTAAGCTAAGATTTAGTATTGGAGAAATAAATTATTTGTTATAAATTGAATGTGTCCTAAGTACAAACTATTTACAAAGTCTGCAGTAATGTACACTAATATTCTAGGCCTTTATGGTCACTCACCACTCACTGACTCACCTACAGCAACTTCCAGCCTGCATGCTGCATTCATGGTATTGCCCGATACAGGTGTACCATTTTTTATCTTTCATACCATATTTTTACTGTATCTTTTCTATTTTTAGATATGTTTATAATACAAATACTTACCATTCTGTTACAATTGCCCGCAGTATTCAGTAAAGTAACATACTGTATAGCTTTTAGCCTAGGAGCACTAGGCTATGCTATATAACCTAAGTGTATAGCAGGTTAGAACATCCAGATTTGTGTAAGTACACTCTATGATGTTCCTACAATGACAAAATCACCAGTAACGTATTTCTCAGAACGTACCCTTGTCATTAAATGACATGTGACTTCATTATGAACTAAAGTGACATAACAACAGATATTATATCAACTGTGAAGACCATAACATAAAAAAGTTTAAAGATATAAAAACATGAGGCCGGGCGCGGTGGCTCACGCCTGTAATCCCAGCACTTTGGGAGGCCGAGGCTGGTGGATCACGAGGTCAAGGGATTGAGACCATCCTGGTCAACACGGTGAAACCCCGTCTCTACTAAAAATACAAAAAAATCAGTTGGGCATGGTGGCGCGTGCCTGTAATCCCAGCTACTTAGGAGGCTGAGGCAGGAGAATTGCCTGAACCCAGG